CAGACCAGGTCATCCACTAATCGGAAGGTTGTTGGTTCGATCCCCGGCTCCTGGTGCCACATGTCGAAGTATCCTTGGGCAAGATGCCATGCATCGGTGTGTAAATGTGAATGAATGCATTAGTTTCTGTTCGATGGGCTTTGTCAATGTGTGTGAAAGGGTAAATGTGGCACATAGTGTAAAAGCATTTTGTTGTTTGTCTGTTGCTTTGAGGGGTCGGAAGACTAGAAAGGCGCTATACAAGTACAGGTCCATTTACCATTAAGTCAAAGGGGAGCTGGTGGTTTTTGAGTAATCATAGGAAGAAAGCTCCAAAAAGACTATTAATGAGTTCATAATGAGGACATTGTTACGACTACCCTTGCATGACAGGAAGCTCCTTTTTCCACTTACTTTCTCTTAACTTTAACATCATAGTGTTTTTGCTTACAGCGTTTAATTTATCCGTCTTCTTGGCCTGTGGCTCCTTCATAGTGGAAGCCAGCAGCTGATCGCCCTTGTAGTCTTTGTACAGCTCAGCTAAGGTCTCCCTGGTCTCGAGATTGGTGGTCCTCAGGTGGTAGGCTGGGTCCAGCTTGGCCTTTTCCTCATCTGAAATGTGCCAGGGGAAGGAGAGCGAGAGCGAGGAAATGGTTTAATCAAAGCACTTTCATATTCCATGATGGCGTAACTCCATTCATAGATGATAATTAGAATTCAATTAAAAAGCATAATTCCAAAAAGTTCATTTACATATTACACATAACAGTTTGATAACTCACCTGGATCCAAAACCTTCAGGTTGTTTTTTACGTGGAAGAAGTTGGACACATTGAATTTATCCAGGTTTGTGGGATCCTACAAAGACAAAACAAAAGAAAAATCAGCATCACATTAAGAGGTTAATTTCCCCCAAATAATGTGCTTTCAGCTTTGTAAAGCAATACAGAAATGACCCACCTGAAGTATTATAATGTCCTTTCGGGTAAAGGGTTCGTCAGTCAGCAGATCTTTAAAACTTTTGGTCTTAATGTTGAGTTGCTCAACAGCCTGAGTGGAAACAGAATTATTTATGAAAACAAAAGCCTCACTTAGAATTGTACTTTGAATTGTCACTCAATATTAATATTACATGCCTGTTTTTTTTTTCCGATTAAATGATAATGAAAAACATGTTTTAAAAAGGTGGATTCTACTTTTTTAAAAATCTATATAAAACCAGAGAAACTGCACAGAACTAATTTGGTGTGATGAAAGGCCACATCTTGTGAGACCATGTGTGCTGGACATTTTGTATGAGGATCAATGGAGGGAAAGTATGTGAGTTCACCCACCTCGTGAGAAAACACGTTGCCGGTGACCTTGTTGGCAACGATGTAAGAATTATTTGTGAAGATGTTGTACAGAACTGGGCAGTGATACTTTCCTGGAACAAAATGAAAAGAAAGTCAGAAGCAAGAAGAGCAGCAGAGCCACTCTCAATCTGATGCCACATGTTGAAAACTCATCTCACCCAGAAGTCAAGAAGCAACCCATGTGCTGAATTATATCATCCATCCCACATCTTCCTCCTCCACTTGCTTTAATTTGCTCTTATCCCCTTCACAAAATTACCCTCTAACACCAAGTCAAAATGTCTTTTTCAAGCAGCTCTGCAGTGCAGTAAGATAAGTGTGAATGACCTTTTTATTCCTAAACACGGGATAATTTTTGTGATCTGAATCACGAAAATTGAGCTTATTCAGCTCTAATGAGAACATAAACGTATTATGCCCCTAGTTTCTATGTAAATCAGGTTCAAGTACATTAAACGCATGCATATTTACCATCATTGTTCTTGGCAAAGTTAAGTTTGATGAGGGACTTTGCTTCCAGTTTCTGTGGGAAATAAAAATACTGAGGTGTTAGTGTGCTACCATAAAAATAATGTAATCAGGATGTTTCCCTTTTCCTTCAAAACAGCAGGAGTCATTTGACAAAACTCTTAGAGCATCTTTGTGGACTCCTCTTTCAAACTGTAGTCCAGAGCTGATGCTATTCAATTATTACGATAACTATACTTAACCGAACATACAACTACACTACTAATGACACTGAAATAGTTCCTCTGAAGTATGGCTGCAACAAATTATTAATATTATTGCTGTTGTTTTTTCAATTAATCTGTTCATTGTTTAGTCTATAAAATGTTAGAAAATAGTTAAATATGACCATTACAATTTCTCAGTATTAAAGGTGACATCTTTAAATCTCTTGTTTTGTCTGACTAACAGACCAAAACCAAAACATATTCAATTAAAATTAAAAATGCTGTTTGGCTATATGATGGTTGCTCACCTCTCCAGTGGCTGGATTAGTACCATACTTCTTGATCCATGGGACAATGCTCCTGAAACATGAGGAAGAAAGAAAGAAACAAAAACAAATGAGCTATGATAAACGTCCTTCACCCTCTTTAACAATTTGTCTGCCTATTGCGTTCAGTATGACACTACCGATAAATACACAAGGCTTGAGGTAGGATTACTAAGAGATCCATGTACGTATACATGTATACAACAGCTGCAGAGATATCTCAACCAGAACTAGTGTTGAGTTGACAGACAAATCAAAATCACCCTCAACTTTAAACTAGCAGTGAATAAGACATAGTTGGTATTTGATTGATTTGAGTGAATAATTAGATTATGACGTTTAACCTGTTTGGGGATTTGTCTAGTACACTGGATGGGTATTACAGAAACACACAATGGCAGCTGACAGCACGCAGTCAGACATCTACTTACAGCAGGTCAAAGACGACTCCCTCCTCAGTACAAACAGGATACTCAAATGGCTGAAGGGACAAGCTGAAATGATTCAGAGAAAAGTTTCATTGAGACAAACTGTATATCATTCACAATTAACAATTACTCTGCAAAACCACATTTCTAGACACATTTTAACAGATGTCATTGCATAGATGTTGCCCATCAATACAACAAATTTGTGTCAAATATAAATTAACTCCTGGCTACAATTTGTTACTGATCTAATAGCAAACTAAGTGCAGATTTAATTGACCTATCCTGGTGGTGGTAAACAAGTCTCCTCTTACCTGCAGTGGTCAAATGACAGTCGTCTGAAGTTTGCCTGTGGGATTTCTGAAAAGTAAAATCA